GGCGTGACGCGCTCTGCCGCCTGGTGCACGCGCTTCTGGGCTGCGCGGAGGTGCCGGACGGCGTGGAGAGCGAGGAGGTCGTGCTGGTGTACCTCGACGACGTGCGCGCGGCGTTCCCTGGGCTGCGTGCCAACGCCGCCTTCACCGCGCTGGAGGCGAATGCGACATCCATTGCGATGCGGGCGCGGCTGTACGCGCTACTCTCGCGTCTGTGCGCGGAGTTTGATCAGGCGAACACCGGCAGAGTCGACCTCGATGAGCTGCGGGTGACGGTGCAGCGCGTGCTGGGGCCCGAGCAGGCGTGTCTGCTGCTCGACGGCGCGCAGCCGGACAAGGACGGTAAGATACGCTACACGCAGCTCACGTCGCTATTGACACGCCCGCCACCCCGGCAGAGGTGAACGACAAACAGGCAGGAGCTTGCATCATTAGTTTATTTTGTTTTTCGCTCTTGCTTTTCCTTTGGCGTGTTGGGCGTTGCAGCTGCAAAATTCGATTTCCTTTGTGTATGTGTTGCCGCATGTGCCTCCTGTTTTTTTTCTGTTCACACCCTGCAATGCGAAACGAAAGGGCACGCAGTAAGGCAGGGTGGGGGAAAAGAGTGCCCATTCTGCTGCTATTTGTGCGGCAACGTGAGCTATCTTCTTTAGAGGTAGGGATTGCACGTGTCCACTTCTTGTTAAGTAATCAATAGGACGCTGCTGTGACGACGGCTTGGCGCAGAACAAAGGAAAAAAAAAATAGGACCAACTTGTGGCATCTGGCTTTGCAGTGAGTGCTATGATTAGCAGTATCTACACCTTATACGCCGGTTTCTCCTCCCGGGGGAAAATTGTTCAGAATAACTGTTTGGATGCGCCCGTGTTTGTTGTCACTACACTGAGTCATGTACAGGCACCACCTTCGCTTGCACAGATGGCGCCCGAGGACACACAATCATTCGTGGAAGACTTGATGCACACATACCCGTCTTCGAAGCTCATTGTGGTTACCTTCAGAGGTGAGGAAATGGCAGTGGTTGATATGCCTCAGCAGCTCCCCCTGCGGCTCTGCTGGGTGACGCTTACCCAGCATGAGCGTCACACATTGTGCGTGTCTCCAGATAGTGAGTTCAGCAGCTCTTGGATTTTGGAGATGCAGCAGATGCCGCAGAGTCTAAATAGCCCCCAAGAGCTTGTGGCGCACATGTTCCTCCATATGGATCTTCGCATGAAACTCGAGACTTTCTGTCATCTTAGAGCCGAGTGCCGATGGCTTGAAAATACGCATCTTTTCAAGGCCCTGATGCGGAGCGTCGCTGATCACTTCTCCACTAGGGGCGCTAGAAAACGTGTTGGGTCTTCAGCAGCATTTGGTACGCTACAAGTTCTGTCTGCAGCGAGTGTGGGAAGGGGGATGGAAACAATGACATCCTCATGTGGCCTGTTGGAGGTGGGACTTCGAGTGAGGAGCATTGAGTTGCACTTGAATACTGAGGAGGTGCCAGTGATGACAGACGGTGTATTGTCAACCAAAGGTCAGAGCAATACACCTATGCTATCCCTCGTTGTGCTACATGCATGTGGTAGTGGCAGTACACGTCGGTCAATGGATGAAGTGGGGTGGCTGCTCGATCGGTTAACGGAGAAGGACGTTGTGTGTGTATCTCTGGCAGGAAAGATGGTTGTGGAACCCTGTAGTGGCACGACCGCGCGGCAGCAGTGGTGTGAGAAGTGGAACGAGACATTTAATGAACGGAATAATAATCCATATCCATTAAAAGAAATGATGCCGCTGATGTGGGAGCAGGCCAAGTATGTGCTAACGTGCTGGCATCTACAGAAGCATCGCGGCAGAGTTCGGGGGACGCCAGGGGACGATTCTCGTTTCGCTGTTGTGCTCTTCGTCCCATCTGACTTCCAGGGCGCGGAGGAGTTATCGATTTCTTCTATTCGGCGGCATCCAGCTTTCTTTCACGTCCCGGTGGTCTGCTTGGTAACGCCTCTGAAGGTGCGCATGCCGTATGCGGTGATGGAGCTGTGCCTGCTGACGCAGGGACGGCTGTTCCACACCACCGGTGTTGAGGCAGACTTTTGTGACGACGTGTCGCAGCAGGCGGCATGTCAGTCCGTCATCCGCAAAGCTCTGTGGACCATCCGTGGCACCACTCACCTTGACGCTGCTGTGTGGATAGTAGCCAACCACGAAGACGGTAGCCCGATGCAGCCACTGCTGACCTCGAAGACGTTTGGCAAGACCGCCATGGCGGTGCGGTGCAGAGGCATGCATAATCGCAGCTGCTCTTGCACGTGCCTTGAAATAGGACCGATTGTAAAGGCCACAGAGATACCAGTTTACATCGCACGCCGCTTGTGTGGCACAACAGTTGCGGCGTATACGGGGATGCGAATACTAGTGTGTGCCTACAGCGTGGTCAAGGACGCATACGAGGCGGTGTTGATCCCGTCGTTAGGTTCCTTCCCAGAACTCTTTCTGTACGAACGTGCGTGGTGGACAAGTCTGCACTTTAGCCGGATGGTGCTGCGAGAGGTGCAGCCCAATGGGACGGGGCTCAATCACTTGCTATTCCGCTCCTTGGGATTTGAGGTGGGAAGCAACGGAGATGATGATGATGATGATGAAGAATGGGGTCCGAACGAGGGGGATGTGGCAGCTATAGCACCATGGATGGGAAGGAGAGGTGCGAGTGGGTATCAGAACGACGAAGAGTCCCTCAGCAGCATGGTTGTGCAGCAAATAAAGGGAAATCCACGGCAGGAGCTTCTGTTAGTGGCGTGGATGCTCTCGCAGTCCACTGCACGCGAATTCGGAGCGTTGGAAGCAATTGAGCCTTCTTCCCTTGATCCATTGGATTCCTCCCGCGACATCCGCGTCCTTCTACAGGGTAATGAAAGACAGGGGGACATTCAGAATGTAAATGGTATTACCGGCTCCGAGGTGCCTTCATTCGTGGACATCGGCTGGACAAACTTTGCTGTTCATAACGCATTAGCCTCTAGTGTAGAAGCAATTTTGAGTCGCACATTCCCCCTTACAGCAGAGAGTCTACAACATCATGTTTCCTCAACGTTAGCGCTTGTGTCACTGCATTTTAACTCTGCAGTGATTCGTCTAGCCTCCGTGAAGTATGTACATGTTCTGGCGAGGGCTAGAGCCCGCTACGTCGCACTCTTCATGGTTGACATTTCAACAGGGGAGATGGTGCTGCAGCGTCTCGTACAGGCAGCTACGTTGAGTGAACTTGTTGAAAGCCAGTCATATAGGTTCAACGATCTGCTTTTTAAGCAGCTGTATTGTGTGGTGCACCTCGCATTGAGCCAATCTCCGTCTTTGTGGGTCTCACAAGACGACGTCCTTGTAGCCGATGGAATTCCCTTCTCCACACCATCGGCCTATGTGCAGGATATAAAGGTTGTTTCTGTTACTCAAAAAGCGGTGGAGCTGGAGTGGAGTGGCGAAACAAATGCTGTAAAGTTGGAATGTTCTCCCTTACAGTGGGGTACCATTCATGGACAGAATGTGCCCGGGGAGATGAGGACGCCTGTTGGCCAAGTTGTAGTGCGGGAGGTTGAGGGCTCGCATAAGTGTATAGTGGAGGGCCTGATGCCGTGTACAGCCTACCATCTGAAAGTGGAGCCGCTAGTGAATAAGGGCGGGACGACTGCGGGTGGACACGAGTCAGTGCAGGGCGCCGAGTTGTATTTTGCAACATGTATCGAACCTCGAGTGGGCGCTCTTCGCGTGGACTCTGCCGTGCCTTCTGCGTCGAACTTCACTCTTTCATTGTCGTATCCAATCTTTATCGGGACTGTCATCGTGTCCTCCTCGCATGTTCTGGAGCTGCGCATCACACCCAATATCACTACGGAATGCGCCGTGGATGAGCAGTGGGACACAATGCTGCAGCAGCCGGATGACGCTGGCGAACAGCGTATCATCGTAAACTTTGCGGTTAGTTCCTCCAACCGTATTCGGGTGAAAATTTCATTTGACATGGAGATGCATCCGTTTGGCCCGTGCATAAACGATGCTTCTTCAAACGGCTTCTCCATGGGCGGGGTACTACCGCACCTCGAGGTGTTGGGCCCGTTCGAGTTGGTCCGCCACCTGTCCTGCGCGTCAGTGACGCCGGTAACGGCGCGGTTGACGTGGAAGGGTATCGCCGCATCGTACACCGTCTCGGTGTTGGTAAAGCGAAGCGACGGGGGAGGCGTGTGCATTCGTGAGGAGCGCGTGCCAGCCACCGAACCGCTGGAGCTTGCGCTGACCGATCTGACGCCGTGCACAATGTACGAAGCGATAGTGAGGAGCGCCCATGAGGTGGACGCCGTGGGCGTGGACTTCTTCACACCGCCGTGGCCGCCGTTACTGAATACAGTTACGGTGCAGTCGAATATGGTGTCGCTCCTGTTGCGTGCGCAGTTCAAAAGTGGTGGAGATGAGAAAAAGTTCACCTCTGTCACGATGGTGCCGCTGCAGACGGAGATTGACAACTCGACGGGGGCCGGCAAGGCGGTGGTGAGAAGTTATGCCCACGTCCCGGCAGGACAACCGCTCATTGTCAGTCTCGTAAATCAATGGATAATCAAGGAACACCAATGCGTGCGTAGTGCGTCAGCCCAGTTGTATGCAGTAACGGATCTCCGTTGTTCATGTGAGTCTGACACGACTGTGATGTTGACGTGGACGTGCGCTGCCCAACGCCACGGGGTACATCTGGAGGTGAAACTGAATGCCGAGTCCCATGAGCCAGAGGCGAACAACAGACTGCGTGTCAGAATGACTCCCCTCACCCCTGTTCGTGTCTGTTTTTGTGGACCCGCCATCATTGAGGAGGTGTCCCCTATCTTTCTGCTACCGGGGCCTCCCTCACTGTCGGACACCAATTGCAAGGTACACGCCATTGTGGATGGGGTCATGCATTTGCGCATCAGTGGCACCTATTGCGAATCCCTGCGTCACCTCCTCGCCGATGTCATGGAGGTGATGACGGTTCAGCTCTGCACCAGTGGCGGCGCGGAGGTGGATCTGCCACTAAACACTGACGTCAAAGAGGGTGTAGAGCTGCTCTCTGTGCCAATTGGAGATTGCAAGGCTCCAACAATGACGCTGTGGATTAAACTGCAGGAGAAGGAGGGGGAGGATGAGCCTTTGTGTAGTGAGACCGACACGGTGGCGCTGCAGACACGCCCAGCGCTCCTCATACCGTGGAGTGTCTCTGAGTCGTTTGAGGTTCCAACATTTTTGCCGTCAGTCGTGGAGAAGCTGCACGTCACTGCGCTGCTACCAAACTCCGCCACGCTGGCGTGGTCGCAGCCCAGCGGTGCGCCGAGTGATGCAAACGATGTGGACGGTGTATATATCACGGTTCGGTGTGTAGCGGAGGAGCTTCGCATTTGCGAGCACAAGAGTTACACCACGTGCCCAACACATTCCGTTGTCATTGAGGGACTTCTCCCGGCCACGCCGTACGCTGTTAAGGTCAGCAAGCATGACGAGGGGTATGGCGAAAGCGTGCGCCTCGTGACGCCGCATGACCTCACGGAGGAGATGCTCCACGATCTGCTTGCCTCACTTAAGCTCTCCTGGGTGCACACAAACGACAAGGGTGTGATGGTGCTGGGTCACGCCAACAGCGACAAGGTGGCACACCACATCTTTTTACAGCTGGCTCTCCCTTCAGTGAAGAGTAGGCTTTTGACAATATCCACCCGTTCCGCGTGGTTTGGACGGGCGGTGTGTGATCACGAAACAGAATGTCTTTATGTGGATGGAACTCTGCGCGTGGCACTTGTTGCAGAGTCGGGAAAACTGCTGCAGCTGTGGAGCAGCGCCAGTGAGCTTCGGTCGCAGGCGTCGGCGTACCTCCCAGTGCCTGGACTCAAAGACACACGAACGCTCTGGCCCCACCTTGAGGTGAAAATGGTGTCAAGGGTGCGGCACAAGTTGCAGTCACACCCTTTGCTGCTGCTGCAGCAGCAGCAGAAAGAGGAGGAGGAAAGGGATGAATGTTCGAGGAGTGACGTAAACGCGGCCACGGCGATTACTGTCAGCCCCCAATCTGACCGCTGCACTGTTGTGGATCTCGTCGGCTGCCCGTGTCTCTGTGGGATAGAGGAGGGCCGCTGCGTTGTGCAGTGGCGAGGCTCCTGTGCCGCATACATCGTGCGCTGGCGTGTGGGGGCGACGGGGGCGATCAACACTGAAACAGTAGTCTGGCAGCCGGGCTACCACCCGCAGTTCAGCGTCGACACAAGCGCGTTGGGGGCTGTTGTGCTGCTGTTTTGTGTGCATAGTGCGGAGAGTATCTCCAATTGCATTTTCTTCGCGGTGCTGGTGCCGCCGAAGCGCCGACAGATTGCGCTGCGCCGCTGCACCCCGGACGGTCCGCTGGAGGTTTACGTCCCGGATGCAAGCAACTCGAGTTTTGTCACAATGAAGTGGCGCGTCGCAGGAACAAAAACAGCACTAACGGCCACAACAACAGACTCACTGCATGGCGCAAATGCCGTGATATGCAACGTGCGTGTGGCTGATTCTGACCGAGGCGTGTTGACGAAGGGTTTCACGGAGCTTCTGATGCTCGGGCAGGGGAGGTCCGGCCAATCGCCGCCACCGCCACCGCTGTCGCTACCCACCACAATCGTGTGGCTGAATCCTGTCGTGGATGTCTACTTCCCTGCCACCGCGCTGCAGTGGGAAGCGGAGCAGCGCTCTTCTAGGGCCAGAGATGGACGCAATGTTCTACAAGCAATGGCAGCAGAGGAGTGAGTTCTATTGGTACTGTTTTCAAGGTCTTTCGGCTTTCCTGATAGTCGAGTCGTGGAGCTGGCGCCTCCCCCAAGCAACAGTGGGTTTGTTGTCGTTGTTGTTGTTGTTTTCCTTTGATAGCTCATACTCGTACCTGTGGTGGTGGTGGTTCTTGATTTGGCATTGACATGTGATTTGTTCACTGCTTCTCGCCTCTTTTGTTTTTCATCGGTTTCCTTTCCCCCACCGCTGCACGCATTTCTCTCCTCTACGCATTTCTCAACTGCTTTCAATTCTTGGTCTCTCTCCCGTTGCGCCTTCTCTAGAGTATAACCTGAACATTCATGCGTCGGCTATTGCGGGCCACACTGCAGCAGCAGGGCGGTGGTGTTGCCGGACGGCGGTGGGCGCAACGCGGTGCGGAAGCCTCCAGAGAAATTGCAGCCGCAAGAACAAGGGCGGTGACACGCACATCAGGGAAGTCACGTTCGTCTCACTTGGAAGAGGCCTCGGCGGTCCCTCGGCAGGATCCCGCAATCCCCAGCGAGGTGGATGTCACCACCAGCACGAGCAGCAGCGACAACAAGAATGGCGGCAGTGATGCCGTCGTTGGCGACACCGACAGGGTGGCGGCCGACATATTCACGCCGACCGTCGATATGGAGGACTACGGGGCGCCTGCCATGTCGCCTGCAAGTAGCTCCTCGAACGAGAGTGTGCTCTTTGCCATTGACGTGTTGTGTGATGATCTCTTCTCATGTAAGACGGACGTGCTCAAGTCGTTTGCGCGGACGCGGTCGGTAGGCGGGGCCACCAAGTCCGAGCTCGTCATGAACCTCATCGACCTCGCTAACCGCGAGGCGCATGGCGAGAGTCATGACCTGAGCATCACGAAGCGTGTGCTTGGCGACGTCTTCAACGAGGAGGTGCGGGTGAGTGGGGTGCGCTCGCAGTGGACGAACAAGTCGTTGGAGGCCTCGCACATTGAGATGGCGTGCGACAGTCACCTCAAGTTCGAGGTGATGAGCTACACGCAGAAGACTCTTATGGTGCGCCGCAACGCGTCGGAGGCGGCGCGGGTGCTGCGTAAACTCATTCGCCCCTTCCAGCAGGACTATCAGCACACAGCGGCAGCAGCAGTGGGTGGTGTGTTCCGCAACTTCAAGGCGGAGGCCGACGCACTCGTAGAGTCGATGCCAGCGGTAGAGGTGGTGGCTCCCTTCGCGTCATTTCTCGTCTCGTACGTGCGCTTCGCCACGTCCGGCAACCTGCTGACGCGCACTAACGTGATAGAGCGACTAGAGCAGCTCGGCTTGGTGCAGATGGCGGTGGAGGACATTAGTGAGGCAACGCTGCAGCGGCTCATGGCACTCCTCGACGACGTCGTTGCAGAAGTGGAGCGGCGGGCAGTGTGCTTTGGCGACAAGCGCACCTCGTGGGGTACCGAGACGCCGGAGGTGCTGCGCAGCTCCCTCCAGGCCTACGGCGACAGCAACGCGCAGCAGCTGCTGGGCGACATTGGCGAGCAGGTGCCGGCGTGGGTGCATGAACTCGTGCGCATGTTTAACAACTGGGATGCCATTGTGCGTACGGATATTCCCGTCCTGGAAGATGTGCCAAAGTACATATTTGACTGCATCCTTGGGGGTGTGGTGTGCTATCACGTGCTTCAGAAGATATACGGTGACATCATCACACCAACTGACGTGCCGCTGCCGGTGCGGTCGGCGGTGAAACGGGCGATGGAGGCGCACTTCAAGGATGAAGAGAAGGCTGCACATGCGCTGGCCAAGCTCTTCGCGTATGTGCAGGCACCAGGTGACTCAGGTGTGGTCAAGGCGGATTTCTTTCCTGCTGTGCTATCGCAAATGCAGGGCGCCTTCCACGACACGCAACAGAGCGCACTGCATAACGCACGTGTTGCCCTCGTGCTGCGTGAGGTGTGCGCAACCGCCTCGCGCTGCACCCGCACGTGTGGGCTTTTTCATATGCTGGTTAAGATCACAGAGGACCTGCGGTTTCACTTCCGCTTTAACACCATCTTCAAAAAACTCAGCGGTAGAGACCGCACAACAATCCGCACAAAATACAGCATCAATATGGTCAAGACGCTTGAGTACTTTGAACAGGAGTACGAAGTGACGCCAGTCACCACCAAGGCGGTGGGCTTTTTGGTGATTCAACTCCTCCACATGGCAATGCGCGGCGGTGGTGGTGGTGGTGGTAATAGTAGCGGCATCAGCAGCAGTAGTGGTGGAAGTGGTCGCCCTGTGCTGGAGCGGTACGTGAGCGTTACCGGGAGGGAGGAATTCACTATTGTTGGCATGTCGGAGGTGGAGGCGACGCAGATTCGTGACCTGCGTGTGGCATTTCCACCGCAGCTGTCGTACAACTCATGGTTGCATCAGTCTGACACGAAGGAAAAGTCGGTGTACAACGTTCTCCCCTCCGTTGCGGTGAAAGGGTCAACGAATCAGGCAATGATCATCTCCCAGGCGCCAATGATGAAGGCGCTTGACGCAATTTCCCGTGTGCCGTGGCGCATTAGTAAGTACATGCTCCACGTGCAGGAGGCGATTGTGCGCGAGGGATACGGCTTTGGCAAGATTCGACCTGCTTTTTATCCCTTGCACTATTGTGCCAAGAGTCGGGGTGATATTTCTTACGACAAGAAGAGCGGCGGTGGTGAGGACGACTACGACGACGACAACGATGACAGTGGGTGCGAAGTGTACAACCTGCAGCAGCGTCGCGAGTACGATACGCAGCAGGATGAGGATTGGAAAAGTCTGTCGGAGCTGCGTAGCAACCGCATCCACTATCTGCAGGCCCTCCGCCAGGCTCGCTCACTCGTACAGTTCTCGCACATTTATTTCCCAAACAGCATGGACTTCCGTGGACGCATGTACCCGCTGCCAGGGCGGCTGAACCACACCGGCTCTGACCCGTTCCGCGCGCTGCTAGAGTATGCTGAGCCGAAGCCGCTTGGGGAAACGGGTGTGTACTGGCTTAAGGTACACCTCGCGAATAAAATGGGGATGAGCAAGCTGTCATTTGACGAGCGTGTGCACTATGTGAATGAGCACATTGAGGACGTGGTGCGCAGTGCGGAGTCGCCGCTGCACGGTGACAAGTGGTGGCAGGAGGCGGCAGAGCCGATGCAGTGCCTGATGGCCTGCAAGGAGCTTGCGGATGCCCTTAAGTGCTCGCAGGGCCCGACGAACTTCCTATCCCGCATTCCGGTTGCGGTGGACGGCAGCTACAATGGTCTGCAACATTACTCCGCGATTGGGCGTGACGCGTTCGGCGCGCAGCTGGTGAACCTCGTGCCGAGCGAGCGGCCCGCCGACGCGTACACCGGCATCTTGAAGGAGATGATGCGCTCCATCACGGCGGACGCGGCACGTGACCACCAGGTGGCGCAGCGCTGCCTCGGCACCGGCAAGGGGCAGGACCACGACCACGTGAAGCGCAAGACGATCAAGCGGCCCATCATGACGCAGGTGTACGGCGTCACCGGGTACGGAATGTCGGAGCAGATCCTTGACGAGCTGGTGAAGCAGAACAAGAATCACGGCCTGTGGACGTCGACGGACATGCGGGAGATGGCGGACTACCTGCGCGAGAAGGTGCTGGAGTCGCTTGGCGTCACCTTCCGCGAGACGCAGAACTGCCGTCGCTGGCTGACGGACGTGACGAACATGATCTGGGAGGCGCAACCAGCTGAGCTGCGCACCGCCCTCTGCTGGACGACGCCGCTCGGCCTCGTTGTGCGGCAGCCGTACAAGGTGCGGCGCGAGATGCAGCTCTTCACCGCCCACGGCTGCACGCGCGTGCCAGGTGACGTCTTCGCCGCGGCGAGCCGCAAGCAGCTGACGGCGATTGCACCGAATCTCATCCACTCGCTTGACGCAACACACCTGGCCATGACGGCAATCGAGATGCAGAACCTCGGCCTCTCCATGATGGCGGTGCACGACAGCTACTGGACCTACGCCTGCGACCTGCCGGTGCTGAGCAAGGTGCTGCGGCAGCAGTTTGTGACGCTCTACGGCAAGTACGACCCGCTGTGGGAGCTGAAGGAGCAGTGGGAGGAGGCGTACTTCATGGACCTGCGGCGCCACGGCGTGCGGCTGCCCGACCCGCCGCAGCGCGGCGACCTCGACCTGAACGTCGTGCTCGACTCGCCGTACTTCTTTTCGTGACGCCGCATGCGCGCTGCGGCCGCGGGTGGGAGCGAAGGGAGGGCAGCAATGACAGGCGTACACACACACACACACACACACACAGAGAGAGAGAGAGAGAGAAACGAAAGGAAAGAAAGGGAGAGGGGGTGGAGAAGCACACAGCTGGACGCACATCAACACGCAGCCGTATGCGTCTGGAGTAAGCGACAGGCCGTAGGGGAACTTGTTTAAGGCAGAGGGAAGAAAAGGGGGGGGAGTGAGAAGGCAATCACGCGAAGATGCACACGAATTCACATCACATACATGCACGCAACATCATGCGTGGATTTTTCACATCTCTTGTACGTTTGTTTGTTTGTTTGTTTCCTCTTTTTCTTTGTCGTTGTCGTCATTGTTTCTGGTGCGCTGGTTCACGGCGCTGCTCCTTCTACCCCACAGTGTTGGCCTCCGCGTTTAGACGCACATGGTGGTCCTCTTCCTTCGAGCCCACGGGGCACACCTCAGATTGCCACTGTTTCTCTTTTCTTCCTTTCCTCATTCTCTCTCTCTCTCTCTCTCTCTCTCTCTGTGTGTGTGTGGATTACCTCCCTCGTTGGATAGCGGTGGACGAGCTCGCAGCAGAAGAAGCCCAAGGTGGGGGGCATGAGTTGAGAGAAGGCACAGCACACGGCAGGTGGGAAGGGCGAGGCCATCGCAGTAGTGAAACAGCAGTTGTGGGTGTTGCTTGGCGGTGGAGAGGTGGGCTCTCGCCATGCAGATTGGCAGGGAGCAGCTGCGGGTGACGCAGCGCATGCTGGAACGGGAGCCACAAGGGCTGTCGCAGCACCAACAGCAGTATCGGCGCCGGTGGCCAACAGCTGCAGTTGGTGTGTGCTGCCTCTTTGGTGACGGCTGCAGTGGCCACCACCCCTGGCAGTGGCGGCGCGTCTGGTGGGTAATGGGCGAGGAGTGGGGGGGGGACACCTTGCGAGTGCCCTCGTGAGGGCCCTTGACGGGCGCGTCGCGTTGAATCCGACGTGGCGTTTGTTGTAGCAGCATCATTCTGTGTATGTCTATGTGTACAGTGTAGCACTCTTGCTCGCTCCATCCACGCTTCTGTTGACTTGTTTGTTTAGCTTTCCCGCATGCTGCTGTTGGTTTTTGTTTCATTCCGCTTCAGTATCTTTACACATACACACATACATATATATATATATATATATATATATATATACCCATATCTGCATACGCCTTGTCCTCTTGCCTGGTGTGTGTGTGTGTTTCGCAACGACGCGAGCAGACAGAACAAAAACAGCAAGAATCAAAGCCTATTAGTGGTAGCAGTAGGAGGAGCAAACGTGGGAGGCAGGTGGTGGGGATAAAGCACACGTGAATGTACGGGAAGCGCATCGCCCCCGTTGACTACGCTGCTTACGTACAGGAGTCGCCAACTGCCGCACAACGGTATCGCGTGCGCAACCGCACGGAGCCGTACATCATCTGGCGCTCTACCGAAGAGTCGCCACTGTTCTCCTCCTTCACGCGCGGCGGCTATGACCCGCTTGCGGGGCTGCGTTGGCTGCGCGGCAGGAACGACTTTGACCGGCAGCTCGCATCCACGCGACACCACCGCTTTGTGCTGATGAACCACAAGCTGGAGGATACGGCGCGCCACTACCTGCTGTGGCGCACAACGCCGGACGCAAGGAGTCGGCCGTCAGTGGTGGAGAGCATCGCCGCCTTCACGTCGAGTGCAGCCAGTGATGCGTCGAAGCGGTGCTGCAGCAACCTCGAGGGCCGCGCGGGGTCTGCGCCGCCTTTGCGCGCCGGACGTATTCTGTCCGGTGCTGCCACAACAGCTCCTCCTGCTCCTGCTCCTGCTGCTGCTGCTGCTGATGACGATGATGTGGTGACGCGGCCGCAATCCGCGGTGACGTTCTTGGATAGCAGGGGCTCCAGAAGTGGCAACAACACTGTGCTGTGTGGCACACGCGGCGCCCCTCCGACGCCGCCGGTTTTGTGCGTGCATAATGATTGCCTTGTTGTTCGCAACTCAGTGAAGGCTCCTGCAACCTCGGTGTTGGTGAATACTGCCGGTCGAACGGCGGGGGGCGACCATAGCGGCAGCAGAAACATTTTCATGCCACATCCGCCCCCGCAAAAGTCGGGCGAACGCAAGCGTCTTAGTCGGTATTACGACGAGCGAATGATGCGGCTCCTCCGCGGGGGAGCCGTCGTTGTCTGAAATGCACGCACTACAGTCCATGTGTGATAACTTTCGTGTGCGTGTGTGTTTTTTTTTTGTTCTTCACCGACGAAGGGCCCCTCCATTTGCTGTGTATTGGACCTCCTATGTTTAAGTATATCTATATATACATATATATCTGTCTGTGTGTGTCTTCGTACGTGCGCAGCGCTGCTTGTAATGTATCCCACGGCCACCTAACTGCCTGCTTCGCGCCATCACGAGGGCGCGAGAGTGGAATACGGAGTACGTGTCTGGTGGCACGCTTGTCGGCGAAAGACGCCGCATAACTGCCGTGACATGGCATCCCTTTGTTATATTCTTTCTCTCTCTCTCTCTCTCTCTCCATATATATATATATATATATTCCTCTCGCTGAAGTGGGTATTTGTTTTGGGGCCTTGGTCCTCGGGGTCGTGATCATGGCAACAGCGGCGGCGGCAACTCGGGGAAGAGGGGGGCATGCCTTCTCCGCGGACGGCGCCTATCTCATCCTTGTGGATTGCTGCAGCAGCAACAGCAGTCACCGCATCAGCACGGCTTTCCAGCTCGCGGCAGAGCTTCTGCGCTGGCCGAAGGCGGTGGCGGCGCAGGTATACCGCGATGGCTGCCCAGCACTGCCGCCCATCCCCGTCGCTAACAAGTACTTCGCCACGCGCGTGCATGTTGTGCTTGCCGACACCACCNCTCTGCACGCGGCAGCGGACGACGACGACAGCGGCGATGCGTGTGGTGTGTCACGGTTGCTGCGGAACTTCCCCAGCGCTGTTGGCTGCGTGCTCGTCGTGGACGCGTCGATGCCCCCCGCGGCCATGCCGCTGCACGCTGTGCCGATGGCGTGCCTATTTCGCGTCGTCGTCGGCGTCGGTGGCGGCGACGTGCTGCGGGAGCGCGGCGGCGTGTGGTACGACGCGTGCGTGGCGAGCGGCTACGAGTACGTGCCACACGGAGACGCGTACGAAGTGGTGCCGGCAGGAGTGGAGGCGCATGGTCTCCTCGGCGGCGATCACAGCGGCGCGGCGCGACTGTGCCAGGTCCTTCACAATACAATGTGGCCAGAGGCCTCGCGTGTGCCACACAATAACACCAGCAGCAGCAGCAGGAGCGGAGGCGATGTCGCTGGCATGCGCGCATCGAAGCGTGGTGTCACCTCGATGAATCTCGTTGCTGTTGTAAGCGCCTCGGGTGTGGATGTCGTGCGTTGGCTTGCGGCTGCGTGCACGGACTGTCGCTTCTTCACAGCACTGTCTCCCCTGCAGGCGGCGGGGCGGGTGGGGACTGCGACGGGCAACGCTGACGACAACGATAGGAAGAATAACACGGCGGCCCTGACGATTGCGAACAGGTACTACGCGGCGACGCTGGACGTGTTCTGCGTGCACCCTGCCCTCTGCGCACCCGTCATGGCAGATCTCTTTATGGCGCAGTACGCCGACAGGCGCCCGCAGGTGGCTGTTCTCTGCTGGCCACCAACAGAAGCAGCAGCAACAGGAGGAACAAACGTGCTAATGAGAGAGACGGCTTTGGAGCAGCAGCAGCAGCAGCTGCCGCTGCCGCTTATTGTCGACCAGCTTCGGCGTTGGGGAGCAGCGGACTGTGTCATCGTCGCCGATGGTGAATCTTCTCTATCGCCTTTCGAGGCGCAGTACTGCATGGAACAGTCGATTGAAGTCATCTGCACGAGCGTTGACGACGCCGCTACGCAAGGGGACGCGTGTGAAGTCGGCCCCACCGGCGCCAACCGTCTTGCGGAGGTCCTCCACTCTGTCGAGTGGCCAGAGCGAACAGCCATACCAACGCTGCGGCCAGCGAAGGCGACGAATGGCGTGTTGCTGTGGGCATGTGCGCCGACGGCTGCTGCAGAGGAGTCGCTGCTACACGAGGCACTCGCCGCGTGTCTGCCGGATTCCTCCAGCCGGTGCACTGCAACACTTCTGTCGATGCAATCACCCGGTCTAGGGGCGCCGGTGATGACAACGGGTGTGCGCAACAAGTACTTCGAGGCGACTGCTGGCATTTACTGTTTTGGTGGCGCACGCAGTGCCGTCATGCTGGAGTGTGAGCCGACCATCGAGCAGTTGCGCGCGTTTGGTGTTGTGGTTCTCGTCACGACGGCGGAAGCGGTGCGTGAGGCAGCGATGCGCAGCAGAGTGGGGGCGGCGCTGGAGAAGTGCGGTGCCGCCCAGCGTGCTGCTGCTTTGGGCTCCGGGTGCAGCTCGTCGTCCCTTATCTTGGAGGACGAACAGCAAGGGGCGGAGATGACGCGACGGTTGTGTGTGGCGGCGGAGGCGTCGGTGGAGCATCTGTGGTATGTCGTTGATGGCGACGGATCAAATGACGCATTCATAACAAGCGTGGAGGAGTTGCTGCTGCAGCTGCACCGGGAGGAAGAGCTAGAAGGGGACGATGGAGCAGGTGATGCGTCTTGCAATGATGCAGCTGGTGGCGCAGCATTACCTGCGGAGGGTGATGACGACAACAGCAGCATCACAGGTGAGATGTTTGCCTGGACGCCCGTCGAGGTGGTGTACGGCGTGGGTGGGGAGGGGATTGGCGCGGCGCGGCTGCAGGAGGTGCTGCAGCAGCACGTGTGGCCGAACCGTAAGATGCTGCATGGCACCAGCAAGAGCACAACACTCGTCAGGGAGACGAATGAGGAAAGCAGAAAAGAGGCAGTGGAGGATGCGGTTGAGGTCGCGGTCCCACCGGTTGCCGGCTGCGAGCTCCCACCGGAATATCTTGTGGACCCACTCACGCAGAAGTCTGAGCGCGTTGCGGCGCTGGCCGTGACGAGTGGTGCACCACTGGACGAGCAGCAGCAGGAGCAGTTGGTGCAGTGGATGGATAGGATGAAGCAGCACGGCCACAGGTTGTCCCGCGCTCTGCGGCAGCAGCAGGCGGAGGTGCTCGCAAACAAGTTGGGTGAACATCTGGGTGCAGTGGGCGAGCCGTGAAACCCTAAGAAGATGAACAACAACAAAGGGGAAGTGGCTAGGCCCGCTGTGTTTATTGTTTACATGAGCCACTGTTGCACGTCTTGTCTCCTCTCCGCATTCCTCAGCCTGGAAGCCCTTCTAAGGAGCCTCCTCTTTTTCTTGCTGCTTGCTCTTCTGGTATTTTTTTTTTCGTCTTCTCTTTCTCAGCTGGCGGGGATGTTGCGGGTCCTGCTGCGGCGCTGTCCGGGGAAGCTGGTGAGGCGCATCGCGCTCGCCACCTGGCTGCTGTGCATTCTGCTGCTGCTTGTCTTCGCGCCTGTGGCACCCGATGCCGCGGTGGGAGACGTCCCCTTGCGGCGCAGTGCGGACTTGGACGACGGTGGCGGCGGCGGCGGCGGCGGCAACGCCACCGCAGTGGGTGAAGAAGCGCTGCGACACATTCCACGCGATGTTTGGCAGGCGTGGCGCGAGCGGGAGTTTCTCGTGGTGTTTGGCATCCCGTCGCTCGATACGCCGCAGCACCTGTCGCGCCGTGAGCTGCAGCGCACGTCGTGGCTGCGCTTCGCCGGCGTGGCGACCCGCGCGCGCAACTT